ACACCTTCAGAGACACGCCCGTCTGCACACTTCTGAATAATTCAAAACGTGGAACACTGATGATACTATGCACTGTCGTATGCAGTACTCATGAGCCTTATCCGTCTACTTCCTCTAATTTGCTTTTTCTTGCCGTCAGAGGCATGTAACTCTTGTTGAAACAGTTGACAACTTGACACAATTGAACAGATCATGAGCTCTCTCTCTCTCTCACATACACACACACACACAGACGCAGCTGGTTTTTTTTTTTTTTTTTTTTTTTTTTTTTTTTTTTTTTTTCCGCTTACCTGCACGTGCACCACTCTCTCGCGCATGGCGCACAGCGCCCCGCATCGCACTGCGCACCGTACCAGTGCCCCGCAACTATGATTACAATCCATCCACCCAATCATCAATGTTCCCGATGGTTTCACTGTGGAGGCCGAAAGCCAAATTTTGGGGGAACTTAAGAGACTACAAGAGTCATCATGAAAGCCAGAAGTCTTGCACAGGGAAAGGCTGGGGGAAGAGAATTGGAAACAAGCTTTGTGGGGGGACTTGAAGAGACTATAAGAGTCCTATCTACGTGGAAAAGAGGAATGAGGAAAGCAAGGGCTAAAAAAGAGAGGGTTCCACATGTGTGGGCGCAATTTTCAGAGTTAGTGCACAAGCGGGCCACACCTGGTATATAGGTACCTCCAGGTCTTGCCTGCTGGACACAAAAAGGCGGAACAAAGGAAAAAAGGATAGAGGAAGGCAAATGAGGGAGGCTTACTTGTTTTCATGGGGCACCTTCTTCTGGATTACTCACCCGGCAAGCTTGTCCGATCTCGTTTGTCCAGTTCTGTGTGTGTGTGTGTGTGTCCAGTATATATCCCATGGCACACTCGCCATGCACCCCATGGAACCCATGGTACACCCTGCCCTGCCGTAACCAAACTAATGCTGTATGTTACCACTCTACTACTTTTCATGAAGCTACCTCGTACATACGTGGTTATCCATGACCAGCTTTCCAAAGTGCCAGGCATATAAGCTAGAGGACATGCGGAAGGCGGGAGGGCACAAGTCCCAAAAGGGTGCCAAGACCAGGCAGACTAGAAAAGCATCAAGGCATGCCAAAACCAAGAAAGCGAAAAGACATCACGGCAAAAGCAGTGAGGTGAACCATAGGCTGGAGGGCACGGGGATGGCGGGAGGGCAGACCACATGCAAGCACACCAAACAGGGGAATTAGAAAAAAATACAAGCCCCAAAAATATTGAAAGACCGAAAAAAAATAAAAGCCGATGATGATAGATTGTTTCGTCGGAGTTTCACCGACTCATCAGGAGGCTGAACCCTCGACAATCTGCGGAATCCCCGTATTGATGGTTTGGATCGTGAACCCTTTGACCCATGTTGAAGGCAGACTGTCCCCAAGCAAAAAAGGAAAGCACATCCTGCAGATGGGCGGCAAGGCAGCAGAGCAGCGAGGAAGACCTGTGAAGCAAGCGGGGTGGGAAGCAAAGCAGCGGCAGAGCGCAGACAAGACAGTCTACACATCCAACACGGAGCAAATCGGCACATGACCTACACACATCATGAGTTAACCCCACAGACTGTTGGTTCCCACCACCCGCTGAGCCAGGGAATCACTCAGACCAACATTCGTCATCACCCGCAGAAGACACAGACATCCCGAACTGAGCGCCCCCCCTAAGAGTGCTGTCGGCACCCCAGACGAGTAATGGCCGACTGTTTGGCACTGCTCGAGGGTGCTCAGCTAAGGGACACTAAAAGTAAGAAAATACAAAAAAAAAGAAACATACATAAAAATGATTGTGTGTGTGAGTGTGTGTGTGTGTGTGTGTGTGTGTGTGTGTTTCGGAGGGGGTGGAGGGTGTTGTAGGGTAGGGAGAAGTACTGTGGGTGACAGCTCTGGGGGAACAGTGGCTATTTTCAGAATGCAGTTAAAAAGATGCGGAGATGACAGGGTGTGCTTATTGTGAATTGATGGCGAGGGGTTGTTGCCGGTGAGGAAAAGTAACATTCGTGATGAGAATTCCAAGGAAATTACTCATATTCCAATTTGCTGTGCATGTCACTCTTTTGCAGTTAAAGAAGCACTTAGATGAGCGGCGGAGACTGAAAGAGCATGCTGACGATGAACTTCAGAGGTTAAAAGAGCATGCTGAAGAAGAAAGGCGGAGATTGAAAGAGCATGCTGATGGTCTTGCATCAAGGCTTTCAGAGAGCGAGAAACAGCTTGGCTGTAGGAATGCAGAAATCAGTAATCTTCGAAATGAGGTGAACCTTCTCAGGGAGGAGATGAGATTCCAGAATGGGAAGGTACTCCAGCTCAGCTCATCAGTTGAGCAGCTGCGATACACTAACATGGAACTTCAGCGTGTTGTCCAAGAGAAAGATGCAGATATCTCATCGTTGATGGAGAAGGTCCAACTTCTAAGTGACGATGCGGGGAAGCTTTGTTATGATCTATTGAAGTTGTCAGAGGAGAAAGAGAGTCTCACAAATGAAGTGAAAGGAAAACAGAGTCTTGTTGATTGACTATCGGCTGAGGTAAAGAAGGTGAGAGAACAGGCAGAGGAAATGGAACTCCAGCTGTGGGAACGGGATGGCCAATTGAGTATTCTGCGTGGCTCTCTGCAGGACGAGAATGAAATGGACTACGCCTAGTGTGGCCTTCAACATCCATCAAAGTGCTTTTTCGGAAGTTTTTCCACACTTGGGTTATGTTGCACAGTTCCAGACTCGGGAAATGTCTTGCAGTTCTGAACTTGGGACGTTGCACAGTTGCAGACTTGGAACATGTTGCACAGTCTCCGACTTGGTACGTTGCACAGCTCCAGACTTGGGACATGTTGTTGCGTTCCAGATTTGCGACATATGCTGCAATTCCAGACTGAAGACATGTTGCGCAGTTCCAGACTTGGGACATGTAGAGTTCCGGACTCGGGACACGTTGCACAGCTCCAGACATGAGCCATGTTGTTCAGCTCCTGACTTGGGGCACAATGTGAGGCTCCAGACTTGCAACATGTTGTGCGGTTCCAGACTTGGGACATGCTGTGCAGTTCAAGATATGGGACATGTTGCACAGCTCCAGTCTTGGGACATGTTGCACAGCTCCAGTATTGGGACATGTTGTGCAGTTCCCAACTCGGGACATGTTGCACAGCTCCAGACTTGGGACATGTTGCTCAGCTCCAGACTTGGGACATGTTGCACATGATGTGATGTTCCAGACTTGGGAGATGTTGCACAAACTTGGGAATGGAAAAATATCCATTCTTTACAACTGGCAGGTCAAGCATTTTCTACGAAGTTCTTTGTGGCGTGTGCTGTATAGACTGTGCCTAGATTGACCCAACTTCAACCAAGTGATTGTAGAAGACCGTGTTCACTGTCGTGGAGGTTAACACGAGATTCATTCCATCCACTGGGATTCAAGGTTCCTTCGTGGCCAGCCATTCTCCACCAGTCCACAGGCTGGGCAAGGTTTTCATCATGCCCCGCAGTGTTATGATAAACATAAAGCAATGAGAGAGGGGGCTGATGTTCTCTCCCCAGGACAACGTGCAAGGTTTCAGGTAGGAAGGGAGCGTGAGGGTCCTTCCTGGTCTGATGATCTTCTCTCTCAAGGGCTACGTGCAAGATCTCAGCGAGCAGAGGAATGCAGGTTTCTTTCCTGGTCAGCCATTCTCGTCAGGCGATGGTCTTCCCCCAATAACGATGCAACCTCATCATGAATGTATACAAAGCCATCGTTCCGGTCTCATACAGTGATGACTCGTGATAAGGGTGCGTTATGATCAGGGGAAGACACTAGGTGAGGTTTTCATAATCCCCCGCAGCAAGTGACGGAGTGGGCTGATATTGTGTCTCCTCTCCAGAGTCACTCTTGAATAAGCCATTGCCTTGGCCACTCTACAATCACAGAGGAGAACTCCAGTGGCATTCCGGTGTATGACCACCAGCACTTGCTGTTTGGGACAGCAGCCGGTCTCCATTCGTGAACATATCTTCACAAACGTCAATGAAAGAGGCGTYGGCTCCATGTTATGAATGAAGGTAGCTACGGAGCAGTGTTCATTGCCAAAAACAACTGGTGTCGAGAGCTTTCTGGGTGATAAAAGTTCTGCCATCAGCATGTGCGTGGCATATGTAGAAGGCTACCGGTAGTAGAGAAGTTTTCTTCTGATGCAACAAACATGCCGTCCCTCACCATCTGCTCTGTCGAGGGTTGTGGCTACCATCTTCACCCGGATAGCACGCCCGGTCATTATAGCCRTATTTGCGGCAACTTTCAGTGTACATTCAGTGATTATGACCGGGCGTTCTATTCGGGTGAAGGCGGTAGGGGAAGTTATCAATTTATTGCTAATAAATAAATTATTGCCTGCAAGCTTTTGCGATCCTTCATTTATCAGCTATGTCTAGATTCTGATTTCCAGCATGTAAGCTGATCCAATGTTGTATAATACATACCATCTGCCACTAACGGGCATCATCTAGCACACAGCCATCTCTTGCTACTATCACCACTACTGGTTTACTATTAATCTTCTGCAGCATGGTCGTTGAGCAGCGGAAGCAGTCGGTGCTTGTGCGCTGCAGCTGAAGGCATTTACTATATGCTATTATCATTGCCATGACATACTCATTTATGAAATAAAGAAGTAGCCATCACAGTGGTGGCTGGGACGCGCTCCTAGCTCTCCCATCAACGTTCCATCTCAAACAATCGTTAGCTAAGCAACTATAGAAAGTAAATAAAAATGGCTGGAAGCCGGGTGGGAAGGAAGCGTGACATCTGTTTGGCTTCCCCCTTTGTGATGTACCATGAGAATATCATTTCAGCCGATACTATGTCATTCAATTAGCGAATCACGTCAAAATAAAATGATGCCTTTCGGTTATTTAATATGAGAACCTCACATAACCAATGCTCCCTTGAGTACGTGATCGTCTCAGCCGCTGCTCAGATGCATTGCAGTCACTGTGTATGAAAGTGTGTCTCCCTTCTTCGGTTACACAAGAGTTCCGCAGTAAGTAAGTTATCAGCTCTAGACTGACAACTGGAAAAGACGATGCTGGCGGTGCCGTCATGATGATGGGCTCATGATGATGGGCTGGACGTGTGGGCTCGCGGACTGCTCAGATGCCTTGCAGTCACTGTGTATGAAAGTGTGTCTCCCTTCTTCGGTTACACAGAGTTCAGCAGTAAGTTATCAGCTCTGGACTGACAAGTGAAAACGACGATGGTGACTATGCCGTCAGGATGATGGTCTGGACGTCTGGGCCCGTGGACACTGGAGGGAGAGGCTATTGTATCTAGGAGACAATGCATTGTTTGGGCCGTCTGCATGCGTTTTTTTTTCTTCTTCTCGACAGTCCTTTCACGTCTCCTTTGACTTCGGTGTTTGCAGTGTAGGTTGTTAACTAACTATAGTTCCGAAACTCCTCTGACGGAAGTGGCAATTCATTAACTGAACGACATAGTCCCATTCCTCTGAGTGGAACTATATCATTCCTCCCAATGGTATAGTCCCGTTCCTCCAGATGGGACTTTCTCAGAATGCCCTGGTCATTTTGCTTCATCATTTGTATCATTACGAACCAGCTCGTAGCTCGTTTGTGACTTGGTTGTTGCCGCTACGGAACCAGTTTCTGAATCAGTTGTTGCCCCTGCTGCTGCTGAATGCAGATTTGAGAGGCGGTTTATTATTAGCTGCTGGTGGGACACCACAGTGTGGAGTTAACATCTAGAAGGATAGTGGATGGAGAAGCTGGAGTGTACATCTAAGGAGCAATGGAGCATTTGATTCATTATATTTTGATTAAAATCATTTAATGAAAAAAAATACCGCCATGGTATAGGTTCAGAAAGGACCCCATTTATTTACTGGGTTGTGCTAATTAGTTTAACAAGCTGTGAAACAGGTACGCTGGGGAGAATGGGTCAGAGAAGGGATGTGTCACATGACAGAATTCATGAGCGGTAGTTCGTAAGATCGAGGCTGTTGATCAGGGAGAAACTTTGGTATTTGGCTATGCGAGAGAAGAGGTACAACATTCAGTGGATGCACGACAAGTCTGCCGACAATTGACATACACCATGGCACATTATGGCAGTGATTTGTGAGAATCACAATGAAGCTAGCTCTGTGCATGGGCCATTCTTTTTGCGCTTGTCTGCTTGTTTGTTGACTTCATCGCATCTTTGTTATCCTGCTCTTAGTTAAGAAGTAGGGTGATGTACGGAAATGGCCCACTGATGTTTATGACTTTGAAAACTAGTTTGGTCTGAGGGCACTCAATCATGTGGTCTTCCCGGTGCAGATCATGCACTTGCCCATCTGCACGTCCAGGGGCATTCTGACAAAGCTAGTTTTGGAACTAGTAAGCCTAGGCAGGCCTCCAGAATTCCACACACTTTTCCCTTACAAAAACAAGTGGTGAGTACCAAGTGAAACTTACCAAAGCACAAGTATTTCACATTGTAGCCAAGACTCCATCCGGCTAAGTGGAGAATGACCCTGGCTTGCCTTCCACTGCTGGATTGAAGGCTTCTTACACCATAAAAGTAAAACCTCAGCCCTTTTCCCTGAACTCATCTGCAGTTAGCGATGGGGCCATCCAAAACAGCACTACGTAGGTTGGGCATGGGACTCTGAAAAGGTCCGCTTCGCCCAACCTGAATGACGAGTAAGAAGATGGAAGCACATATGCCCACATGCCCATCCGATATAAAAGGAAAACAGTGGAAAAAACAGGAAACACTTCATCTCTTTTTTTTTGGTTTTAGTTGTGCAGGGGCCATGCTAATCTTCTCTGCATTGTTCAATTTCTATAGCGCTTCTGCATATTCTCCTTCCGGCTTGAGCAGACATTCGTCACGATCGATTTTTCAAAGAAATCTCTGTTTCAAAACCGTACATGAAATTTACATTTCATACAGCTTCCCCTTGAAATTTGTTTCTAAAGTGAAATCAATTTGGAATTAGTGTTTGTACTAAGTGATATTACTAATTATCCTTCTCAATAAATAAGAATTAATTAAATAAGGTTTAACTTTAAAGAGTTATTTTAAACATCAAACACGCCGAGTGGGAGCTGGCAATCTCAAAAACACGAGCACAAATGGTAAAAAGCCACTGTGGGGATCTAACGAGGAAGGCTGAAACTGGCTGTAGAGTACCGTTCTGGTGGATTATAGACTCCATCTCAGACCATATCTACAACTTACCATCTGAGATCTAGTCAGTATATTCAGCAGACATCAAACGCTGCTACGAAACAAGCCCCACTGACGACTCAACACATGGACTCCCTAAAACCATCACATTTTTCGTAAAAATTGCTTTCCAGCAGGCCAGAAAAAAAACATGGAAAAATGTCAAATTAGCCTGCAAAATCAGAAACACACAAAAAGAAGACAGATTCCACACTTTCTGGGCCAATGCCCCCCCGCAAAATACAGTAATTTTCTCCACGGAACTCATCGGTCACATGAACACAAGGCTCATCAACAATGCATACACCTCCTTGGGGGGTGCAATATGGAGGCAGACACTAGGCATCCCCATGGGGTTCAGCTGTTCACCCATCTGGTGTAACCTCTACTTCTTTCGATACGAATACAACTTCATGAAGAAACTCAAACTACAACCCA